CTGACAGCTCCTAGGTTTAAATCTCACGAGGCAAAATCATGGTTATACACTTCTGAAGAGTCTCATACTAGCACGAAACAGCCATCTATTGCTTCCAGGCTCCCTATAGTAATCTAGCTTCAATTAACTTATAAATTCTACTATTAATTTATCATTTTAATTTATAATATCCATAAATTGGAAATTCGATTTCATTCCTCAATGGGTGTTCTATCCACTTTCATCGCGTATTCCTAATTTCTTCCTCTGCTGGAATCTCGTTTGTTCTCTCCCATAGTAGGTTGTTGCTACTAATGTCTGGCCAACGGATCCGAAGTATTTTGCGTATACAACTGTTAATAAACACTTGTATCTTCTGGATGATGGTTTTCGTAGTTCTCCACGTTTCCACCCCATGCAGTAGAACTGTCTTGACATTTGTATTGTAAATCCTAACCTTGGTGTTTGTTGACAGTTATTTTGAGTTTCAGATGTTCTTCAATTGTAAATATGCTGCTCTTGCTTTGTCGATCCGCGTTTTCAAATTTTTAAATAACTAGATATCTTTTTTCATATATATTCGAACTTAAGACTAGGGGTTAAGCGTTCACGCGTGAAACTGACAGCTCCTACGTTTGAATCTAACGAAGCAAGATCATGAATATACACTTTTGAAGAGTCTCATACTAGCACGAAACAGCCATCTATTGCTTCCAGGCTCCCTATAGTAATCTAGCTTCAATTAACTTATGAATTCTACTATTAATTTATCATTTTAATTTATAATATCCATAAATTGAAAATTCAATTTCATTTATAATTTAGGACACATTGATTTAGAAATCAGTAATTAATGTTTGATTTACAATTAGTTGACAAAATAACAAACAATTGATAATGAGAATATTAGTATCATTACAATATTATAAACGAATTACAATTTGATAGTGTGTACAAATCGATGAATAACCCAATGATTATTGAATAAATTCATTATTATTATTATTATTATTATTATTATTATACAATTTATAACTGTCAAATATATTTATTAATTAATAAGAACTATTATTGAATTAATTTACTTGTTAAGGCCAACTAATTTGTTCATATAATGTGTGTTTTTTTGTTGTTGTTCAAACTAGGTACAGTTAAAAAAAAAATGAAGTAATGGTTTCCATTCAAATAACCTTAATAATTGCCATTGGGTATCACTTTTTTTTTTCTTTTTTTTTTTTGAACATTGTTCATTGAACCTTGTTACAACCTTTCAAATTTCATATTATATTTCGATAATTTAAATGAATAAATAATAGAAGTTCAGCATAAAGTTTATTTACATTTCCGAATGTGCATTTTCTTTTCTTATTTTTAAAACGATTTAACGTTTTAGGCAAAAAATGGTTAGTGTCTACCAGTGGAATCCTATTTCGGACTCGTCAGTTGAATGTGCTTGCATCTCAGAGCTGATGTTCACTCAGTAGCTAAGTGGAGAAAGCGATGGCGTTTAAAGCAAACGGTACTGAGTTTGAGTCCCAGAGTGAACATCGACTCTGAGATGCAGGTACATCCAGCTGACGAGTCCTAAATAGAACGAAATCAGCGTCTAAACTGGATTCCACTGCTAGTCACGATCCATATTTGTTTACAATGCCTGTAAATTAAGGCATTATCGAAGCAATACGCACAGTATGCACATATGCCAATAAGAGACTTATCAATTGCAGTCCTAAATATCAATGAGAAGATTCAAGTAAAAAAATACCAAGTGAACTAATCAACGTTTGTTGAAACGAATCATTTGACAAAATATGGTAGAATTAATAAATATTTTAAATAAAGTTGGATAGTGACATGGAGTATAATCTAGTTAACGTGTTTTCTCTCATTCCGGACACTTCATCTAGATGTACATGTATCTCAGAATTAATGTTTACGTTGAGATTAAAATATTGTATCTTTTACTTAAAACATTGATTTACTGATTCCTGATGGCTACTAGTTCATGAAATGGCTATGAATTTGGTTTTGATATAATTTTTAGTTCTTTAAAATCTCTTCATTGGTGTTCTAGACTACAGTTGATTAGTCTCTTTTAGAATACTTGCAATTTTATGGCAATATAGACTCAATTCTCTTAGGACACACCTACGTCAAAATGGACTGGTCAAGTGCAGCTCATATCATCAACAGGTAGATACAATGAATTAAAAATCTAATAAAAATTAGTCGGTATTAGTAATTAAAAATGGAGTATACGCTTTATAATACTTATATTATTAGAAACCAAGTGTCTTAATTTACAGAACAATACTGATACTTGGAATAATTATAATATATTTGTCATATTTCCTTCACTACGCTTCCGATTTTAGTAGAGTCACAAATGCAAGGAATAGATTTCATTTGATATGGTTGCAAAGTTAATGTAAATAAAATAGCTCGTGATAGTATTCTCAGTATTGGAATTGATTGATGATACATTATACAACTACCTGATTTAAATCTTCCCTATGTGGCTTTCTATACACTTACAGAAAAATTATTTTAATTATACGAATGTGAAATCGAACACATTCCTATAGTTGATGATTAGAAGGCAGATCATTTTAAAGCTTGAGTTATATACCATATGTTAAATGGTTTATGTAAGATGACACATCGTTAGTGAAACGTGATAAATACTTCATTTTCATGCATACTTTTAAGTAGAAGCTGTCCCGATTAGCATCATATCATGATTACAAAGGATGCGTGACTTACCACACATTAAAAAAAAGTCTCAGTAAATTGACATAAGTTGTTAACATGTGAGATATTAAATATATTGTCAGCTGAGAAATAAATGGTAAAAACTCTCCAAGCGTTTCATAAACGAACGTCTAGATGATAAGTTCATTCTTCAGCTATTTAGAAGATCATTGAGAGACTCCTCAGCACTGAGCATCCACGATCCCGCCCGCAGGATTTTAACTCAGGGACTTCAGTTTCGCGAGTGAACGCTTAACGTCTACATTACTGAGCGGACACCCAACGGTGTTAATGTCTAATCTCAACTAATTGATGAAGTTGCGCGACCATCTTCCATCGTAGTGAGGTAGATACTTGTTCAAATCCCGCAAGTGAAATCCTTCATGCGCACTGACAAGGAGCCTCACAATAAGACGAAACGGCCGCCTAGTGCTTCCAGGTTTTCAATGATGGTCTAACATCAATTAGTTCATGATCTCAATCAAACCTAAGATAGTCATATATTCCTCAACATTGCGTATCCACGGGTCTATCGGAGACAGAACTCAGGACTTTTAAATCTCTTTACGAGTGTCTAAGCTTTGGACCAGTGATCTAACATAAATGGTTCACATGCTTAACCTTGTCCAATTCGCTATCGTGATTGTGCGACCTTCTTTTATTATCGTTGGTAGTTAACTGTTTCACTTTTGACGCGATTATACGACTTTGATAAGTTTTTAACGTAAACCGTGAAATTTAAGCATATGTATAAACTTCCTGAATTGTTGATTACTCAGTACAAAGCTAAAGGGATTTCACTTATAGTCATTACATTTTGACTTGAAAACACATGACATTATTTCGAAGATTTAACAGCTTCCTATGGTTACCCAGATTGCAAAAATCCACTAGGATTATGAATATGATACACCATCCTAATTGGTCTTTAAGATCAATGTCATGACTTTGTGATTACATAATTTTCACCAGGAAATTGAAAGCGTTATGAATGCTCTCGAATCCTGTATATCTTTGATATTTCACATAATTATTAAATATTAAGTTCAAAGGAACCTAGAGCTCATGTCTTCTTGAAAAGTGTACACTTATTTCGATAAAATTGTGTATTAACCAGTATCCACATGACTCAATGCTGTAAACTAATATTCATTCTGTACTTATTTTTAGAATATATTATCATCGTTAATACGGCAGATCTGTTTAATTATATTCACACCAACACGTATGGGAGTATTGGCAGCTGTTTTATTAGAAATGCTTCAAATGGTAACATCATTAAAAATTAACCTGATTTGTACAGGACTCTGCGTCCTGTCAATTATATCAAAATCATTGCATCAGTACAATGCAGTGTAAAAAAGTAAATATCTCTACTAGGAGCTATCATATGAACAGAAATTAAAGTACTGTAATTGAGAAACTTTGTTTTACAGACTTGTTGAAGGAATATTGTAAACAATTGATTAATGGCAACAGATGTGTTTGAGTTAATTTTAGTGATAGCCCCTCATTCTAATGGTAGAGCTTTTTAGGCAAAAAGAAGATGAATCTCTTTTCATTTGAACGCCAGTAAGTATAGTGAAAACGATGAAGAAACGAAGTGACTCGGTTTAATATTCCCATGCTTCACAACTTTTTATATTGAACAAATAATAAATTTATTTGTGAAATTCTTACTAACTTCACTGTATGGATTTATATATATTAATTTATTAAGATATGAATATAATCAGAGAGGGGTTTTGTGGATATTATAGTGATTTGATAGTTGAATCCATCGGTCATTTGAAGCTAGACCACCTTGGGAAACCTAAAAGCACTGGGAGGCCATTTTGTCCCAGTATGGTACTCCTAGCTTTAATTGACTCACGAATTCGACTATTAAAATATAAATATAAACTCTTTCAGTCTGCCTATAAACCAATTCTTTGAACCCACAACCAATCAATAAAGATATGCGTGACCTTCAACCCAAGGTCACCAAGCACTCATTTAGAAAATAATCACATTTCATTTGTTTGGTACTCAGTCTAATCACATGTATAAATCATATTAAAATAAATGAATTTTGTTTATCATAATTGTGTTTGTTATTATTTTAACGGGTATGATAATTTATTGTTACTATTCTGATTAAATGTTTATTGTACTGGCGATTTCGATGTAACACAAAGTTAGTAGCGACTGGAAGTTTGCACATATTTCAAATCAATTAATTGTTAACACTAGTAATCAATCAATTTGGATACAATCTACACACACACACAATATATATATATATATATATATATATATATATATATATACGTACACATACGAAATAGTACATTAGCATACGTTACTAGACCAACGAACTTTTATAGTTATTCAGCTAGCACCATTATTGTTTTTAGAGTATATGATCAAAATTGTTATATAAATACACAGTTTTATTTTCAAAACATTGAAATTATTCATTAGCATATTGATATTATCTCTCTCTATATATATATATGAGACATTCTATATAATAATTAAAGTTTTAACTTATCCAGTTCATTTATTCAATTGTTTAGATAAATTGATGAAGTGCATTTAAATAGACTAATTTATTGAATATAACAACTGATCAATTACAAAATGTTCAGAGGTTTTTTTCAATGAAGAAAACAAAAACAAACAAACAAACAAACTATACTTTTATCTCCACTTAGATACACATAGATTTTATCTCTGTATGATGCAATGATGAGATTAATTGACAATCATTGACAATGAATCTAATCACAATGAATCCAAGTTATTTTTTAATCATATTACTTTATAAATTCTTTTATATTGGAATTTTATCTAGTCAAATTCATTCAGACAATCAGGTAAGTTTATGTTTATAAATATGATAATAAAATGTTAAATAATGAAAATAGACTTTGATTTTTATTGATTTATAATTGACATCTCATATCAGAAATGATTCACGAAAGTTGACAATTATTAGATGAATGTACTTATTTATTTAATTACTTACGCCTGTTACTCCTCGTGAAGGAGCATAGATCGCTCACCAGCATTCTCCATCCTGCCCTGTCCTGAGCAATACTTTCCAGCTCCTTTCAGTTGCTATCCATCCTTTTCATATCTGCTTCTATTTCCCGACATAATGTGTTCTTAGGCCTTCCACGTTTCCGCTTCTCTTCAGGATTCCAAGTACTTGGATCTTATGAATTATTGTTCCTAGTGTAAATCATATATCTAGTTGACTCGATTCAAATAAGACAATAATGTAAAATCATGAATACTAATACTAATCATTATCAAAGGTAGATAACCGAAATGTTTACTAGAGTATCTGCTTGAATAACAACTATACTAAGTTTGATTAACTAAATTTTAGAACTAGAAAACGAAAACAAGTGTTAAGACTACAAGTTGGGACAATTTGTAATGTGGCTTGTCTTTAATATAATTCCTAGGGCTTTATTTATCAATCATCTTGATAGCCGTTATTAAGTAAATCCTAACGGTTTAGAAATTCAGAAAGCAACACGAAGTGTTGACTACAGTTTATTTCTGGATAGCGCAGATAACAAATTTACAAGAATATCAAGCGAATTCGAACAGGAAAACTAATGTGCGCCAGCAAGTGAATACAAAAGCGGATTCAGAGTTTAATCAAATCGAATCAAATCGAAGCTATTAATATGATTCATGCACATATATATGAGAAAACGATAGATATTTGAGCAACTAACATTTAAGCTAGAGGAAGATACGTAAATAGTCTGTCACATATGATCAAGTATATATGTACATATAGTCATGATAGCAATGCGAATAGTAGAAAGAAAGAAATAATTTGTTACTGATTGAATAACATTGTCTGCTAAATAACTTAATTAAAGGGCTTGACAAAATTAACCGTAAACAAACTTAGTTGTAGGGATGGTTACTATAAAACATTTTCACATTTATATTCAATTCATTAAAAGCCTTCTTTATGGAGTGAAATGGAGAGATAAATAAAAGTTGTTGAATAATTGTGTATACTAATTTATGATCAAATTATTAAACTTGATGAATCTCTGTTTTCACTAAAACAGTTTTATTTAGAAGATACGTGACTTCACCTAATAAGTAAGAATTTAGTAACGAATTAAATTGAATTCTTTATCTCATGGTACAAAATAAATAAATATTCATCAATACACATACAATTTTCTTTCAATGAATGAACTTAACAAGTTTTTGATTGAGATCATGGACCAATTGATGTTAGACCACCTTTGGAAACCTGGAAACACTGGGCGGCCGTTTAATCTTATTGTGGGACTCCTCAACAGTGCGCATCCACGACCGAGCTCGCGAGATTCGAACGGCTCAGTGGTTCATTAGGTTTAGCATTCCCGCGTGACATTGACGGCCCTGCGTTTGAATCCCGCAAGCGGGTTCGTGGATGCGCATTGCTGGGGAGTCCCACAATAAGACGAACAGGCCGTCCAGTGCTTCCAGGTTTCCAAAGATGGTCTAAAACCAGTCGGTTCATGACCTCAATCAAAAACTTAATAATCTACACAACCCGTTTACTAGTAATTAACAAGTTTTGTTAATTTCAAATCATAAAGTACTTTAAAAATTATGTAATAATCAATATTCAAATTACCATAAAAGTCGAAATTTAAAGTTACTGCTATGAATGAGTGGCGAAGCTATAATTTATAGACGATATTAGATATTAGATAATGGATAATGAATTTCAACGTGAAATTCCTCATCCATCTGGCTAAATAGAGTTTTGGCATTATAGCTAATGTAAGTTCGTGATGAAAACTCTAAATCTAATTTTCAACCCTAACTATCAACTGTAAATCATAATTCTAACTGGTTTATAACCTTCATGTGGTCCTAATCAGTGGGTGAACATTGTCAAAGTCACTTCAATGTCGCTTAAATATCATCCATAAATTATAGTCTCACTGAATGAGACTATAATTTAGTAGTGATCAATGAGTAAAGCTAACTAAAACCATAATGTAAACATATCAGATGTTTGTAAAATGTGTTTTTAAAAAAAAAGAATAATATTTTATTCATATCAGAAGGGATTTTGTAGATATTATAGTAAGTTCAGTGGTTGAGATCATGAACGCACTGTTGAGGAGTCCCACAACAGAACGAAACGTCCGTCCACTGCTTCCAAGTATTTCATAATGGTCTAGCTTCAATTGACTCATGATCTTAACCATTGAAATTTAAGATTTTCTTCTTGAATATATTCAGCGTATTCAAAATTTCATATATTTTATATTCTTGAAAAAGCTTGAACCCGATTGTCAGGCAAAACGTTGGATTTACTTCAAATTCTATCGCTGAGATTTTATATACACATTCTTCCTCTTTAATGTTTTACATTGATTTGGAGATTAAATACTGTGAAATTATTCGATTAAATTTAGACGAAAATTCTTATTAAATGATAATGGATTAAAACTATTTTGAACATTTTAAATGTTTTCATTATGTTTGTTATATTCAAACAGAGTTACTTTTGTATGAGAATAAACCTATTTAAACTTTTTACATTTCCATAATAAATTATCTATTTATAAAATAATCTAATAAAAGAAAGTTTTCGATGAGACGATAATTTATGAATAAGCCAATCATATTTAAGATAGACGACCTTAGATTTTGGCGCAAAATTCATTCATTCCTAACCTTAATAGACAATTGTAAATTTTAATTTTAATCATTAACAACATATAATATAACCCACATTTAACTTTGATAAATAGGTGAACATTCTATGATCATTCTAGCATTATTCAAAGGTCATTCATAGATCCTAATCTTAATCAAATTTCACTTCACATACTATGGTATATTTATGAATAACCATGGTTTATCTTTATTCACAATAACTTTATAAATGCTTTTTAAGAAGTCAGAATATCTTTACCTCAAAAGTTTTATTTCATCAATTTCTTTGATTTATTGTCTAGTTATACACTAGAAATATTTTAACTTATTGTCCATTGGTTTATTTAACGTAACACTTATATACATTTTTATATAAGCAACAAATTATTTTCAGAAGATTATTTTCAAGAGATACTCATGAAGTTTTGGTGAGAAGCCGTTACCAGTGAAGTTCAACCAAGTCTGTTGTGAGATATCAGCTCACTGAAGAAAATGGTGTACGGTGGCGCAACTTTCTGGATTGATTGAAGTTGGACATTAACAGCGTTGGATGCTAGCCGGCTCAGTGGTCAAGTCGGTTAAGCACCTAGAGCGAGACTGATAGGTCTTGGGTTCGATTCTCGAGAGGTGCGGAATCGTGGATGCGCACTGCTGAGGAGTTATGTACTAGGACAAAACAGCCGTCCAGTGCTTCTAGGTTTTCCATGGTGGTCTAGCTTCAATTGACTCATGATTTCAGTCTGTAAAACAGATAATTTGCATCTCCCTAGATTGTTTCCTTTCGTTTATTACGTAACGTGATGAATTTGTTTTATCAATGAAACAAATTAATTCTTTTTGAAAATGCAAAGATTTATGAAACCTTATTAAGTTTAAAACGAAATTTTGATAAAATAAAAATACGACTTTTATGTTCATTAATTTTTTGTGCTTAATTATAATACATTAGCATGCAAGTAAACGTTTTATTTTACAATAACATGTCAATGCATAAAATAATTTATAAATTTATATTTACTAAATGTTTTGCGATAAAGCACCAAATATGTATATGCTACACTTTGTTATTAGATTTATGTTAGGGTTTGAAATATTGCTTAGGTGCCAAAACCGTAGTAAGTGGTTTTCTTAGTGTATCACAAACCGAGGTTAAACCCACAAGGCAGTGGATCAATGTTAGAAGATTCAATCCCGTGGTTGCCTGTGACCAACAATAAATTCATACGTCATTCGTTCCCTTAGGATCATGGAGTCCATAAGAACCATCTTTTTGAAACCAGGGTTTTTCAATTCCCCTAGGTGTACTCTCTATCTCCACCAACTCTGCTACGCAAAGGAAGTGAGTAGCAATTCCCTGACAGAGGGTGTATAAACGTGGCCATGTGAGGGCATTTCTAGAGGGAGAGGTGACTCTCTCCACCCTCAATTGTACCAAGGCATTTGGGAGCATTAGGCCATGGAGATTTATTTTCGGTGTAAGTCATAATCACTGGACACAAAATCATGCTACTTAAGCATTTAGTTTTCATGTAATACATGAGGATAATATTGTGGAGCAGGCCGTTATCGGGGTTTTGTTCGATAACGTGAAAATGTTAGTGGATACATAGTTACTTAAGTTAGAGTTACACCATAAAATGAAGCATGTCACGTATGATTAGAAGATATATGATAAATATTTGACAAATCAATAAATATAAAAGCAGGAAGATCTTATTTAAGCATTTTGAACGCTAAAAAAACCCAGGAAACGGTAAACTAAAATATGTAAATACTCAATAATCTGACATCTAGTGTGCACGTTTAATTGCTTTTCTTAAGTGGTTGTATTTTTAGGAAATTTTCCTGATGTATTGAAAAATACACTAATACCGTTGAGAGACGGAAAAACTTTAAAACACCACTTTTATCTCACCTTGAACAGTTAGAACATATTATATTGTGGAATTATACTTACAATTATGAGTTGTTCTCCAAATATTTGATTGATTTTCATGCAACATCTATCTAAGCCACTTTTGTATGGATAATTTATAAATATAAAAGTTCACTTTTGTGATGTATAGTGCTCTTATGGAATCCAAAAACATCTTTAATCATGATTTATAATTAGATCAAGATCTACTGAAAATCAAATGACACTGAACTGGTGTTTCACTTCTCATAGGAATTTTCTAGT